TAAACTAAGTGATCTATACTCTGGTCCTTATAAAGTTGTTAAAGATGTAACACCAAACGTAGAAATAATTAAAAATGGTAAAAATGAATTAGTACATAAAAACCGCACGAAATTGTATATCCAATAATAAATAAAACATATTTTATATGCTGAATCTAAGTACATTTATTGTTATTATTATTATTTCTGTCTGTAGATTACTTAATATTACGTAATTATAAATATTCTAAATTAAATAATCATAAAAAAAGAAAAAAAAATGTTCTGAAAATAAATACCTTATATATTATTTTATAATGTAACTGTTCCTAATATTTACGAAAATAAAATCTTTTAATGTATCAAAAAAAAATGTATCCTTGTATTGACACATTTTTTTTCTTTTGGATGGAAGGTGTAGTAGTAGTAGTAAGGGTATATAAAAGTACACACACAAGTGTAATAATAATCCTATATAATCAAATTTATTAATACAATAAAGAGAGTCTTGTATCATCATTCGTTTGTTTAACTCCTCTCCTAACATTCGCCCTACAGTATATTTCTGGCATGGCTCCAGGTCTTTTGTATCATAGTGACATTCTCAGAAGGGCTAGAACCCAGAGCCGTAAAACCAGTAAAAAAAACAGTGAGATTTTATTTTAGCTAGTGTTGGCATAACATTAAATGGAATTTTTACATAGTACTATGATTGAGATAATTTATTATTGTAGGAAATTCTTTGTAAGAGACTTATTCTCAGGCATATCACTTTTATTTTTATTATTACTAATAGTACAGTTATTACTAATAATAACTTAATATAAAAATATTTTGTGTGTTGTGTTGGTAGTCTTACAAAGTGTATACGAATATAGTATAAATATATTAAATGGCAACATTTGAATAGAGTAAAATGATTTAAGTCATTTGATATTCCCAAAAATGTTTGTTTTTTTCTGTAGCTTCAATTAAAATACATTTTTATTTGAAAAATCATAGAAAAATAATAAAACTCAATTTATATATAACTTATTTCTAGACGCTATAATTTTTGTCAACCATTTTTCTGCCATTGCTCTTTAATTTGGTAAGATCTATGTGAAAAATAAATGGTGTCTGGGAGATATGTTCTTAGGATTAGTGATGTACTACTCCTACTGAGAGTAATGGTCTTAGGATATGTGAGTGGGGGTGTTCTTCAAACTAGTTAAGAGATCATTTTATTTTTTCATAAATCTTATATAGATAATTTTCACATCTTTAAAAGTTTTAGCTTGATATGTATTGTGATTATTGTCATCCCAAATCGTCTACAGAGCCACAGAGCGCAGTTAGCCTGTGGCGTTTTAAAATAAAGCTAAAGGTGACATCTTACAAATAGTGCCGAGTATAAGAGTATTTTTCAAAATAATTGTACCTATTCATTCATTATAAAAACGATATTAGAATGTTCTAATACGTCCTAATTATTTATTAGCATTTTTATTTCTTACACCTTGCCTTTTAACCTTCATACAAATATTAAAATGTCACTGCTACTCCTTACAAGATTCCCACCTCACTACATAAAGTTCTTTTACGTTGTTTTATTTTTTACAATATTCATCTTTTATAGTAAATTCTACTCTATTCGGTATAATCATAATTTTTTTAGATATACTAATAAAAAAAAAAGAAATTGCAATAATAAAATGTCACGACTTTTTTACAATTTCGTTATACAAGCTTAGTAACACTAATTGCTCGATCATGTATTCACTTTCTGTACGCATTCTGATTTTAATACACTAGTAACACTCGGCCATCTCTGATTGGTCAATTTTTAGCTGTGGTTGCCATATTTAATTTAAAAGAAAGCAAGATTTGAAGCTTACGCGTTGTGCTAAAATAATATTCTAACAATTTAGTAACGGTTGACTTTTCTTATGGGTATTTAAAAAAAAATATATATATATATTTAATACTTCATATGTTAAACAGACTGATATATCGTAACATATGCTTTCATGTAAACGATAGACTTGACGGTTTGAGGTAAAAACTAATTTAACGTTACTTTTCACTAACAATTTTGTAACTTTTCGTTATGTTACGAAATTGTATAGTCTTAAGTAACGTATACACTGGTAGTAGTAGTGATAAGTATTACTAGGCAGGTTAGTAAATTGAGCACACGCGCGCTCTAGTCATTTTGTCGGCTGCACGTTCGATGTCGCTTCTATACAAGACGTCTTGCTTAGACGCGATGTCTACTCAACTATGTAAAAGGTGAGTGGATGAAAATTAATGAGATAGAGGAAGAGTTACAGATAAAAAATGATAAAGAGCAGGATGAAATACAGATTGCTGAGACAGATAAAGATACTAGCAAATAATAAAACTATTGGTCCCAGGTAAACATACTCGTCAACAACTTCGAGCTTAGTGCTCCCAACAACTAACGGCACAAGTGTGACATGGACATTAAACATGATCTTTGTTTTGTCCATGTTCATCTTAAAACCTATCCGTTGGGAAACACTATTGAGGTCATTGAGCATAGTGCTTAGGTCCTCCAGCGATTCTGCCATAAGGACTATATCGTCGGCAAATCGAAGGTGAGTGATGTACTCGCCATTGATGTTAATACCGTATCCTTTCCAGTCCAGAAGCTTGAAAACGTTTTCCAATGCAACGGTGAAGAGTTTCGGGGATATAACGTCACCCTGTCTTACACCTCTCTGCAATTGGATAGGTTTCGTACTCTGGTTCTGTACTCGGATAGCCATTGTAGCCCTACTGTACAAGCACTTCAGCACTTCGATATACCGACAGTCAACTTGGCATCGCTGAAGGGACTGCAGCACCGCCCAAATTTCGACGGAATCAAAGGCTTTCTCATAGTCCACATACGCCAGACATAGTGGCAAATTGTACTCTTCGGACTTCTGTACAATTTGCAGAAGGGTATGTATGTGGTCTATGGTGCTAAAGCCTTTTCGGAAACCAGCTTGTTCGGGAGGCTGGAAGTTGTCAAGTCTGCGCGCGAGACGATTCGTAATGACTCTCGAAAACAGCACGTAGACGCGGCTCAGAAGGGAAATCGGCCTGTAGTTCTTCAAGAGAGCGTTTTTTTTAAAGGATCGAGTGACAAACGAGCACACAGTCCACCTGATGGTAAGTGGTTGCTGTGGCCCATAGACATCTACATTTATCTTCGTTTGCGAATCAAAACGCAGATGCGTTGTCACCCGTGACGACCGTGAGGAGCAAGATGGAATGCCTCTCTTCCAGTAAAAAGGGTCTCCGGTTCTCTACACTCACCATACGAAACACAGCAGTGTTAAACTGCTATTTGACGCTGATATTCACCTTGTCACCTTTCTTGAAGAATAAGACCATCGCACTTCTGCTCCACGCCTTCGGTGTAGTGCCACCATGGAGCTTCTGAAAGACTTCAAGTACCGGTTTTCCACCCGCTTTCAGAAGCTCCGCTGTAATTTCATCCGCGCCTGGGGCCTTGCCGGTTTTAAGGTGCTGGAGAGCCATTCTAATCTCACTCAGACTGACGTCTGGGATGTCATCGGAATAGTGTCGGATAAGACTCGCTCTTGGATCGTTACTCACACTTACGTGTGGCTCCAACGATGACGTGTACAGCTGCCCATAGAACCTCTTAATCTCACTCAAAATCTCAGGTGTTCCGAAAACGACGAAGATACTGTACTATTACGAAATTATATAGGACATTCTTGGAAATATTATGTTGGCATAATTTTACATATCAATGTAGCAGAAACATTATACACAATATCTTTTTTTAAACTATCGGTAAAAAAGAAAATTAAAGTTCCGTAAAACAATCCGTGAGGATAAGGACACGGTACCCAAAGATTTAATTGTAAAACATTAAAATGCTTCAAATATCGGAAAACCCCGTTGAATATGTATTATATTGTGACGAGTATCTCATTTATTAAAAAAAAAGAGTATAATTAATCAAGTAATGGTGTTTTATTGATAATTTGGGAGTTATGTTGGTAGAGTTATAATTTGTGTGTGAATTATAATCTACACATAAGTCATTTGACCACAAACTGACAATATAATTCTAGGAGTATTTATCACAACCCTTTTTTACTATTAGTAGTAGGGTAATCAGTAATTCGGAATAGTTCAGTAGTCAGTGTACACATGGATTAATAGTTACAATTTAGTAACAATTACAACGATATCGTTACTTTTGTCGTAACTACAATTTCGATACATACAATTATTTTGAAAAACACTTATAAAAGTCCACCAAGTTTCCCAAGTCTCCACTCAAAAATCCACCAAAAACTTTTGTTCTTAATGTGTTGGACTTAAACCATTAGATTGGATATGGGAAGAAAATAATGAGTGTGGTTGAATTTGCACACATTTGAGGTTCACTATTTTCTCTTAGCAATTTATTAAATTGAAATACTAATATTAGATCACATAAATTAATACAAAAAAAAATATTGTTAGGTAGGTATCTAAATGTTCTTTGGCATTGTGAGTGTCAAAAATAAATATGCACACTGTTTAAACAATAAAGAAACCAACTGCATAAACTAGTAAAATGACACATCCATCAAAATGTCCTTATTATAAAATATAGCCTATGACACTCTAGATGAACACAAATTTCCATAGAAATTTTGGTCACAGTGCACCTGATGATAAGTGGATGCAGTGGCCCATTGATATCTACATCTAGTCTCAATTATGAATCAATATGCAGATCCATTATTCCACCTGAGAACTCAGAAAAAATGCCTTGTTTCCAGTAAAAAGTATCTCCAGTTCTCTAGACTCACAATAGGTAACATGGCAGTATTTAAGCTTTTTCACACTGGTATTTTCTGAGAGCATTGTCCTTTTCGGTCAAGCCAACCCATTTGTGCTACAATCAATAACATATCTCTACCTTTCAACAATTTGAAAACAACAATAATTATTATAATATAACAATAAAGTCCTTTGAGCAACAAAAAATATAAAAATCAATGTACCTTTATTCTAGGCATTGTAACAGTTGGTGGTTCAGCTACAGATACATAGATACAAGCCGATTTATTCTTTAAAAGTTCTCCAGTGAATGGCATATACTCTTCTGAAGCAAAGTCATATCTTAAGCCATCTATTACCATGAGCACAACACTATTTTCACCTGCATTATAGACTTCTTGCCCATCAATACTGAAACAGTTTGTAGAATTTTATATACAAGATATATAGCTGTGGCATGTTCAATTTTTTTAAAGTTTATTAGCCCTAAATGGTCACTGGGACAAATTTTTGTAGTACAAAAGTAAGTTTATTCTTTGAATTTATAACTCATATGTTACCTTTACAGTCTATTGAAATCCAATGTAGAACATAGACCTCCTCCATAGATTGCCCCATAGGGGAGATATTTTCCATAGTTACCATGCTTGCCAAGCTGGTGAGCAACTTTTATATGTGGTAGAGCCATGCTACAGTTATATTAGTAGTATAGTTGTAGCACAAATGGGTTGGCTCGACCGGGGAAGGACCACACTCTCATAGAATATCAGCGTAAAATACCCGCTTAACCCTGCTGTGTTCCGTATGGTGAGAGTAGAGAACCGGAGACCCCTTTTTACTGGAAAAGAGGCATTCTATCTTAATCCTCACGAGTGACAACGCATCTGCATTTTGATTCGCAAACGAGGATAAATGTAGATGTCTATGGGCCACAGCAACCACTTACCATCAGGTGGATTGTGTGCTCATTTGTCACCCTATCCTATATAAAAAAAACTGCAGTTTTTTTTTATTTTAGTCATTTTTAACAAGACATTGCTGCCCTTTTCTTCATTTCTTTCCCTCTGTCACCTCTTACAATACCCACGGGATGATATGGGGTAGTGGATATTCTTACACCGCCACTGCATGGTAACTCATATGTATAGAGAAACTTTCTACTTTTTATGTATGGATACAATACAGAAATAATTGAAATTAATACATTTTATATTCAGGGATAAAAATATTAACATAATTGTCACAGATAAATTGTTTATTCCACGACATAAACTACATTTGATATTTATATGATACTAACCTGACACCATCTATGAAGTTAGGTAAATCATCCATACGTGCTAATTTTCCAGAATGATATTTTAAAGGGAAAAACCCGTAAAAGAACAGCATGAGGGCTCCTAGAGCCATTAGTAGTAACCAGAGACCTATCCATCGATGTTGAAGCCAAGACAACATAATGACAATCTTTAATAATTATTTAATTCGGCATATATTTACGTGTAAATTTTTGCAGATTTTGTTTGTGCATACCGAATGTATGCAATTGTTTCCACTATATCCAAAATTGCATTAGGCAATGAGTATAGGAAAGGTTACTTTTTTCATGCTTCAGTATTAACGCAAGCGTTATCAAGATAAAGAAACTGATGACATGGAAAGTAAACGGTTATTTTGCGATAACTATCTTTCTTGCAAGCCAATCACAAGTTTGCATACAATAATTTCAAAATCCAATAGCGATTACCGGAAACAATATCATAACAACAATAAAAAGCTCAGTTTTATATTGACATTTGACAGTTGACATTTTTTTTTGGAGTTTATGGCCTGGTATCTAGACCTTTAGGCCAAGTCTTAAGTATTTTTATTCGGTTTATTGTAATTTCCCCACTCCTTCATAGTATACTGCTTCACAATATGTTGATGCGTCACATTGTGCAGTTCTTGGGAGATTTTGGCGGCAACTTGATCCACCAGACAGCTGATAGTTGGCGATGGTATCTAAAGGTGCCTATGCAAACAAACAGCTTATCTTGAGAATCCATCACCATCAGAGCACTTGTTTCACTGTTTCCACTAATAGTTCACATGCGTAGACACTTAATACACAAAATCGCAACACTTTTACATATCAAAGTCCACTTCAAACCATTATTTAAACAATAATACAGGAGCAGCAAACGGCCGCCGGTCAATTTCCCGCCAAAACTCCTGACAGTTAACATTTGACTTCTCAGTGTGACCAGCTCTAACTTAGGAAAAACTTTTGATGATTTCATTTTTTAAATTATTTATATTATTGGATATGTTGGGTGCTTTGATCCGCTTTTTATATGTTTAAGTCTTAGAGTTTAAAAAGCTTTAAACGTCTTATACACGGTCCATCTTGTCCAACCAAGGTCATGAACGACGAACGATGCAAAACAAAAATGAATAGACTTTACGTATATACATTATATAAGACGTTTTATTCATCCCAGCTGTGCGTCCGTCCAAAATCGTTGTGCTGGACGTAGCATATTTTATTTTATTTCGCACTATTTTATTTCGCACATCCAGCGTGTTAGATGTAATCGAACGAATTTAATGACTGCGCGTGTTTTATTTATTTAAAATGCCACCAGTTTTATCAAAAAATAAAAAATGGGAGTTCTCCTGATGTTGTCAGCAGCTGCAGAAGAGAGGAAAAAATAGGAAGAAGGTTATTTATGATCATGGATTTTAAACACATTCATTAGACTATATTTTTAATGTTACCGTGATTTTAAACAAATGCAAGTTAAGTATTAAGGTAGGAAATAAAAATACGGATGTTTACTACAATTTTATTTACATTTTCTATTCTTTAAGTAGAATTTAATCTAATTTGTTAGGAGACTAGTACAGCTGGGATAGTTTGTGACTAAGTTATTAGGTACTTTAAGAAGATTATGGACTTATCGTAGAAGGAGCATACTAATTTAGACCACAGATATCATATTTCCAGACAAATTTTTGGAGCTTTGGAACCATCCCCTTGTTACAAATATATTAAGAAGTTATACCTTAAATTTGAAATACCCAGTGACCTCGTATTTTTAGATTTATTAGAACATTTTTATCCTTATTTAGTTGTATCATCAATAAAAACAAAATTTCTTTAATGTCTGCCCTGTTGCAAACAATGCACAGTTTCTTGCAGAAATAAAATTATCGATACCTGCACAGCGCCGGCGTTCAAACTTAGTTACCGTAGTTAAACAGTTTTTATTCTCATATTTTATTTTTATTCATTCATGTACAAACAACTAAACATTTCTATATACCGACAATAACATTGTCAAAATAATAAGCGACTAGCAAGCAATTATAGTACAGCCCAAATTTCGACGGAATTAAAAGCTTTCCTATAGTTCACAAACGCAGGACAAAGTGGCAGATTACTCTTCGGTGTTCTGTACAATTTAATAAAGAGTGCGTTTGTGGTAAGCCTTTTAAGAAACCAGATTTTCCGGGAGGCTGATAGAAGTTAAGTCTCCCTGCGAGACGATTTGTAAAGATTAAAAAATCGCACGTGAAATACAAAATTGGATATATATAATTATATGAATACAATAATTAAAGTGATGTCGAGAGTTATCGTCGAAGTCTAATCTAATCTTGATTAAGTATACTGCCGATGCCGGTGGGTAGATAAGGTAGCAGGATTCGTGACAATAACTAATTATGAATCAATAAAAATTTGTTGAACATGAAGACGGATAGGGTATACTTGTTCATGAGTTTACGTTATAAGGATAAAGTTCTTTAGCGGTTATTTAAAGCCCTTTCCAAGCTCATTAGCTTAAATGTCAAACAGGAAAGGTGGTGTTGCCCGTGAAAGTCGTAAAGGACAATACGTATTTAGGACAGATCGTATCTGTCGTATCGATTTAGTGTGATTTGTGTTCATCCATCATGACAGTACTTTTTACGCGGTTGGTCATAAGTTTAGTTTTTTATCATCTCTATGAATAATTCTTCTGTCCGTGTATGTGACTGAACTCGGTTTTAATGAAATTTTGGGTGTGTTAAGTTGATGGAGAATGGTTTAGATTGACAATTGGACCCAGTAGGAGGCACTGTTTTTGAGATCCAAAAATCACTCATGCGAAGCGGGAGCGAATCGCTGCATTCTGTATATTTTAAGTCCAAAATCAAGGCAGTGGTTAGTTCTTGTAGGTAGCATAAGTTGAATTGAAGTTTTGTTCTGCATTCTGTATATTTTAAGTCCAAAATCAAGGCAGTGGTTAGATCTTGTAGGTAGCATAAGTTGAATTGAAGTTTGTTACGAGAAGGCTAAATATAAAGATATTTTAAAGGTTTGCGAGCTTTGCAAGGTATTGAAGACGATAACTCCTGACATAATATCTAACTCTTTTATTTCTATTCAGAATAGCAAACTTTTTGAAAGTTGCAAGTGAAAAACTTAGGGATTAGTTAATTTTATGTTTTATGTCCAAGAGACTTGTTTTCGGGAAAGCTGTACAGATTAAAATCATCACTTTCAGCATAGACTAGTTTTATGAATACAGATACAGAAGACTGATTGTTTTTATTGTATAGAATTTTTGAATCTTTTCATGATTGATTGTTACCGCAACTAAAATTTGTTAAAAAATAAACTGCGCGAAATTTAAAATTATGGTGTCCCAAGAGTAGGTATGCTTACATATTATTATTAGATATGCATATATATTGGTAGGTATGCTTCTATTTATATGTATATACTGTTAAGGCTTTTCATATTGGAAAAAGATCGGAGGTAGATTACCTAAAAGTCATCATACATAAACATAGAACTTTAAAGAATTTGCCATGGAATATGGTCCTGAGCCACCTGCATCAATCGACTTCTTAAATCTCTTGCCAGGCTTTCACTCCAACTAGTGAGGAACGTCCTACACTTCACTTACCGGTACGAGGTTGCCTCTCGAGAACTCTTCTTTCCTAATGGGTTGTCGGTTCTTTGAAGTATATCGCTTGCCCATTGCAACTTCAACTTAGATCCATAAAGTACAAACAATGATTTGTGTTTCACAAACTGACAATGGCGGTGTTGAAAACAGAATAGCATGTACCTACTTGATAAAGTATTTGAGGCTTGAGGTGTAAGAGTGAAATTGCGAATGCGGGGTGGATGACGTTACTAGGTGCTGACTTACAGATGAGGCTTTAGTGACTGGTTAGTAGTGATGGAAAACAACATTAGGTACCTGCTTACTCTGCGTGATAACAAACGTGTGGATAATGAAAACATTCATGCCAGCTCGAGTATTCTTGATAAGGTTTACGTGTACGTTAACCTTATTATACGTTGACCTTATCAAGGATACTGATGTATTGAATTTAAAAATCTAGTGATGAGAATGACTTTAATAATGAAGCCGCATGATCGTTTTAGGAACAAAGCTTTTATGAAATAAACCCAAATAAGATACAGACTTGTGTTGTTTTATTTTCCTTTTACTTAGTGTAAAAAAGATGGGAAGGAAGAAGAAAGAAAGTAAATTACCTAAAAACAAAACTCATAAAAATACGAGAAATATAAATAACATGAAGCGGATACTGTTAAATTTACCGTGTAGTGGCGGTGTAAGAATATCCACTACCCCATATCATCCCGTGGATGTCGTAAGAGGCGACAGAGGGAAACAAATCAGGAGATGGGGGACAGTATTTTTCTAATAACGACTAAAAAGAAAAAAAACTTATGAGGCAATCTATAGGCGAGGCTTATGTTCAGCACCGGTAACATCATCATCATCGTTACAGCCTTTCACAAGTCCACTGCTGAACATAGGCCTCCCTCAAGGAATGCCACAAAGCACGGAAATGAACCACCTGCCTCCATCGACTTCCTGCATGTCTTATCAGGTCACCACCCCATCTAGTGGGGCCCACACTTCACCTACCGGTACGAGGCTGCCGCTCGAGAAACTTTTTTCCCCATCGGTTGTCGGTTCTTTGAGCTATATGGCCAGCTCATTGCCACTTCAGTTTACTAATCCATTGAGATATGTCAGTCACTCTAGTTCTACTACGGATACCCTCATTTCTAAGTTTATCACGCAGAGAAACCACGAGCATAGCCCTCTCCATAGCTCGCTGAGCTACTCTAAGCGTCCTCATACGGCCAGCAGTAAAGGACCACGTCTCAGTTCCATAAGTCATCACTGGTAACACGCACTGGTTGCACATCTCGTTTTTAGGTTTTGAGGTACACCCGACGAGAAGATGTGTCGTAATTTCCCGAAATATACACAGCTGAGTTGAATCCGTTGATTGACCTCTCGGTCGAAGTTCAACTTACCTAGTCGGACTATTTGTCCCAGGTAAACAAACTCGTCAAGAACTTCGAGCTTAGTGCTCTCTACAACTACTGACATAGGTGTAATATGGACATTACACATCATCTTTGTTCATATTAAGACCTATCTGTTAGGAGAAACTATTGAGGCCATTGTGCATAGTGCTTAGGTCGTCCAGCGATTATGCCATAAGGACTACACTATATCGTCGGCAAATCCAAGGTGGGTGATGTACTCTCCATTTATGTTAGCACCGTATCCTTTCCAGTCCAGTAGCTTGAAAGCGTCTTCCAATGCAGCGATGAAGAGTTTCGTGAATATAACGCCACCCTGTCTTACACCTATCTGCAGTTGGATAGGTTTCGTACACTGGTTCTGTACTCGGATAGCCATCGAAGCCTTATTATGCAAACACTTTAGCAGTTCGATATACCGACAAGCACCGCTGAAGGGATTTTAGCCACCGCCCAAATTTCGACGGAATCAAAGGTTTTCTCATAGTCCACATAAGCAAGGCAAAGTGGCAAATTGTACTCTTCGGTCTTCTGCACCATTTGTCGTAGGGTATGTATGTGGTCTATGGTATAAAGCCTTTTCGGAAACCGGCTTTTTCGGGAGGCTGAAAGTCTTCGAGTCTGCGTGCGAGACGGTTCGTAGTGACTCTCGAAAACAGCACGTAGACGCAGCTCAGAAGGGAAATCGGTCTGTAGTTTTTCGTTGTGGCCTTTCTTGAAAAACAAGACCTCTGTACTTCTGCTCGGCGCCTCCGGAGTAGTACCAATATGAAGTACGGAATTAAAGAGCTTTCGAAGGACTTTAAAGTACCGGTTTTCCACCCGTTTTCAGAAGCTACACTGTATATCCATTCTCGTCTGGTGTCTTGCCGTTTTTAAGGTGCGGAAGAGCCAATCTAATAGAACAGAATAGAATAGAATGATTTGTTATTCAATATTGATTATTACATAATACTTATTGAAAGTAATTTTTTATTTACCACTGGTTCGGAAAATACCTCTGGCCTGGGAAGGACCAGTAAGAAACCCAGCGGGTAAATCTCTAAATAATGACTCTAATCTCGCTTAGACTGAGGATATCATCGGCTGTGTAGTGGCGGTTAAGAATATCCACGACCCCATATCTTTCCGTGGATGTAGTAAGAGGCGACAGAGGCAAACAGGTAGGAGATGGGCAGCAGCATCTTCCTGATGACAGCATTAGTAAAACAGAAAATTGCGGTTCCCGACCCGCTCGCCAAGCGTCGCAACTATGGCAAACATCCCCCCATGAATGAGAGTTACGAAGAAACGGTCTCCAATCCTTGGCGGCTCCATTATTCCTGGCTACCATGGCGACCTTGGTAACGGCTGGGCGAGGGGTGCTAAGAATCTCCGGTGGAGGTTCGGTTGCCACCTAAGACGACTCGACCTGGCAACATACAACGCACTCACCCTGTGGACTGACGAGAAGATTTTGGAGCTGCAAGGAGAAATAGACAAGTTGCGCTGGGAAATTATAGGATTATCTGAGGCCCGAAGAGAGGGGGAGGACAAGGTAATCTTCGAATTCGGTAACTTGTTCTATCACTGGGAGGGCGACTAACTGTCCCAAGGAGGTGACGGATTTATCGTCCACAAGTCTCTCGTTAACAACGCTGTAAAGATTGTGTGTGTCGACGAGTGTTGCGTAACTAATACTCAGAATCACCAAACGGTATTCGTTGTAGGTCATACAGGTTTACGCATCAACCTCAGCACATCGCAATGAGGAGGTGGAGGGAATGTATGAGGATATAACTAGAGCCATGCATACCTCCAAAAATCACTATACGGTGTTAATGGGAGACTTCAACGCAAAACTAGGCACAAGAGAGAACGAAGAGCTGAAGGTAAGGAAATTCGGAATAGGGCAACGGAACCCAAGAGGCCACCAGCTGGCCGAATCCATGGAGAAAGAGGGACTCTTTATGATGAACTCTTTTATTCCAGAAGCGGCCTCATAGGACGTGGACCTGCTCGAGCCCCGACGGTTCAACAAAAAAAGCCGCCGCAGAAGAATACAAAAGCTTTCCGATCACACTCTTAATCTCATGGCTGTTAGATAGGAAATGAAGCTGCAGTCTTCAGCAGATTTGACAGCATACAGGCAACTGAACAGATAGATCTCCAAATGCATGCAGCAAGACTTATGCAACTTTAAAATACAGCTCGTATTGAAGAAGCGTTTGAGTGGAACCAAGGCTCCAAATTCTTTGCCAGAGATCTATCTGCCAGAAAGAGCCAACTGTCGAAGCTGAAGACCGAATGAGGCAGCATTGTTTCCGGGACACGTCATGATTGGAGCCACCCGCAAGTATGAGCAATGGTCCAAGATCAAGTCTTATCCAACACTATTCTGATGATTTAACGGTAGCGGATACTGTTAAATAGAGCATGGAAGGAATGTTAAAGAAGTAGGTTATACATCCAGATGTGTTTGTCACAAAAATGTCTGAGGTGGTCTGTATTCGTCAGGTCTCAGATCAGAATGAATGGACTAAATTTATCTGAAGAGAGTGTAATATGTAAAAAGTTTAATTTTAATAAACACGTACTTTCTTAAAATGCAAGGTATGCTTCTTAACCTTCTACTTCTATAAATACACACATTAATAATGTCTTCAAGTTCAAGAGAATAATACGTGTTTTGAATCTATTTTTGTATACGCACTCATTCACTGTGTGGACATTTAGTCGTGATGTATGAAAACAATGCATTGTACACCTACTGTTAAACATATGACGCTGAAAAATAAATTTAACTTTCGTTTCATCTTTGCGAAGTCAATTAAATGAGTAAGACAATAATTATAGATAGATACCTACACGACCTGCAGGTATCGGCATTTTTTTAATTGGTTTTTCACGTATGGTTCGATGTGCTCCAATGCTTGAGTACATGAATATGTAAAGCCCTTAATAGGAAAATTTAGTTATGAATTTATCCAAAACAATACTAATGTCCTACAGACCGAATTTGGGTCAAAGCGGCCAGTTCCAACGGATACTAATGCACGTGAGTGCGCGCAAGCACAAGTGCACTTTATTTCCTCATTCTCCTAGTCCGATGGGATAGCAATCCGACATGACCGGATAGAGATCAGGTAGAGATCACCAACGGTTTTACGTGCTTTTAATGGCACGGGGGTGAAATATCGCGAATTTCCTTACCCTAGGCTAAAAAAGTTAGTGTGGTCCGTGTGTTGGCAGAATATAAACTACCCATATCGTCTCGTGGGTACCGTAAAAGGCGATAGAGGTAAACAAACCAAAAGATGCGCAGTAGAGTCTGCCTAATAACAACTAAAAAATAAAAACTGCGGTCGTAAATCCGCCTGCCAGCGTGGCTACTATGGCAAATATTCTCCCTATGAAGGTCTCTTTGGGGGAGGCTTATGTTCAGTAGTGGACTTTTGGAAGGCTGTAACAGTAAGGTACTTCACTGCACCATCAAGACGTTGAAAACGAAACAAGATAGTGAAATTATCATCAATCAATGCTCAACTTCTTGACACTCACTCACATACATCTTTATTCTTTCTTTATGCAGTCCATAAAAGTGCTCTGCTGGACGCACACATATGCACCTAAAACCATTTTGTTGGTGACGATTTCCCATGCATATGTGTACATATGTGTATATGAGTGCGTGTGCTTACATCAACTTGAGTTGGTTTTTATGTCACTTGAAATGTACGCAGCGCGCTGACTTTTATTCTTCTGTGGATTTTTTTTATAGGATAGGGTGACAAACGAGCACAGAGTCCACCTAATGGTAAATGGTTGCTTTGGCCCATAGACATCTACGTCTATCCTCGGTTGGTATACAGATGCGTTGTCACCCTTGAGGACTAAGATGGAATGCCTCTTTTCCAGTAAAAAGGGTCTCCGGTTCTCTACACTCACCATACGAAACATAGCATAATTAAGCTGCTATTTTACGCTGGTATTCTGTGAGAGTGTGGTCCTTCCCCGGTTGAGCCGACCCATTCGTGCTACAACAATACTACTGATATAGCATGGCTCTACCACGTATGATATTCTCGTAACGGATTTTCTTCCGTAGAGATAATTCGAATATAGTCCTTTCCATCGCACGCTGAGTGACTTTGAGCTTCCTCATACAGCCAATAATAAATGACCACCGTTCGGTCCCTAAGTTATCAATTTCTCTACTCTTTACGCTCGAGTTCTACAATTTGGTCTTAAGATTCCAAGGAATATCAGACAAGAAAAATGTCAAGTGAAAGATGGAAAAGGACAAATTTTATCGCCGACTACAATGATGGTTAATTAAGCTCGGGAATGTGCTTTATGTACAATAAATTATACTAGAAAATTAATCTTGTAAATGAATTAGTAACCCTGATAATTCCGATAATCATGTCATCCATGATAGTTATTGTTGCAGCTAGTTCAAGGTGCTTTCCCGTTGAGTCACATAGTGTGGGCTGAAATTTCTATTTAAATCTTCGTCGAGAGGTGACCACTGTGTAGTCTCACGAGCACAGAGCAGCGCGCGCCTGCAACGAACAAATACCAACGCAAAGGTATTGTAATGTTTTTTTTTTAAATAGATAAAATGTCATTGAAATATTAAAAAATATTATCCTTTAAGATTTTGATAAGGTACTATTTACTGTGTGTGCATATCAATTTATGAACGTTTATTTATATTATACCTAAAAAATATTGCTATTTCCAATAACTTTAATGCTATATTACTTAATAATATATACAGGGCTCTGTAGGGCATTGTTATAAAATGGAAATAAATATTTTTGTAGTTTTAATAGTGCTGATTAAGCTTTTTTAGTAGCTTTTTATTTTTCAATTATATTTAACATAATATTACTTTCGAAAATTATTAAAAATGTGTACATTAATGCCCAGCGACATTTTTATAACTTTTTAAACTCATGCGATTGTGAGAAACGTAACTATATAATAACATACGTTTAGTATAGTTTGAAATACATAGTATTTGTATTATTTACGAAAAAAAATATGATGGCGCATTTCCCTAAATAGGTCGCCTAATTTTATCTTCAACAAATTTTACTAACAGGCATTGGACACAATAACATCTTGGCGTATCGAAATTTCTTGCTAGTTGTTGCATCATATCTAAAAACGTTACAGGTGAATAACATGGAATCGTTCCAGAATAAATCTAGTATTTAGGTACATTTCATTCCATTCCTATACGGACGATGCTTGAAAAGATAATAAATGTACAATTACTTAAAATTTCCTACATATAATTTAAGAATAAGTACTAAGTAGGTTATTATTTTAAATTTGGAAGAGCCATGCTGAAGGTATATTTAAATAATACCAGAGTAAAATAGCAGCTCAATGCTACTGTGTTTCGTATGGTGAGTGTACCGGAGACCGTTTTTAGTGGAAACGAGGCATTCCATTTTAGTCCTAAAGGGTGGCAACGCATCTTGATTTTGATTCTTAATCGACGATAGATGTAGATGTCTATGGGCCACAGCATCCACTTACCTACCATCAAGTGTGCTTGTTTTTCACCCTTATTATATTATAATAAATAATAATCTGGTACTTCGTTTGGAAAACTTGCCTTAAGTCATGTATATTATTCATGTTCAGTCATGTTATTGCCATTATTAACATATTTCGCGCCCGCCTATGTTCCGATCTCAAAAGAGCCAGGGCCAGTGAATTTAAAGAATGTAAGTCCTCAAAAGCGGATAACCGCAGATAATATCTAAATCTGCCCGTGGTGATAATACAACGAAGCGCTAGGTATTCGTTTTAAATTCGTGGTAGGTGTTCACGGGCAACAGCAGCTAATTACCATCAGGTGAAATGTTGAAAAAAAAAATGGTGAAACTATTTTGTCACTATAATATTATAAAATAGTACTGAGAAGTGTACTATTAAAATATATCTATTAATTGCCCACAAGTGTTATTTGCACAGAGCAGTAAAGGTCAATATTTGTTTGGTTTTGAAAATACATTCTGTTTATATGTCGGTCGCTAATTTTAGAGTGTTGATCACGAGTTGATGTATATATTATACCTGAATGTTTATAGGTTCACAGCGTGAATATTTCGCATAATTGACGATTGTTATTTATTAGCCGACTTCAAAAATGGATTTAGACCTCATGTGCAATTGTATTCTGTAATGTAAATTATGCGCTATCTTCTCTAATTGTGCACCGATTGTAATGTTTTTTTTTTTTAAATAGACTATATATTAAGAGTGGAAGAATAGGGTATGAAGATTTTAATGTTCAGACGGTATTCTAGATGTTGGGCACTTTGAGCTTGTAATTTTCCTTTGTTCAATCAAAAAGGGATTATTTTTTAGAAATATAAAAATTTATAAGTACATATAAATGTAATTGAAGTGTCTGTTTGTAACGTCAATATAACACTTATTTACTAAATACATATGAAAGTATATACGGTATTTATAACAAATAAACAATTTTTATAATTTTAATCTGTTTGTCTGTCTGTTTGTTCTGCTGGACCGATTTTGACTGACTTTCACCGGCAGATAACTGATATTATAAGGAGTAACTTAGGCTACTTTTATTATTATTTTAGAAAAATAATTAGAGTTCCGCGCAAAAAAAAAATTCAAAACTACGAAATCCAATTGTAATAAATACAACGCCGACGAAATCGCGGGGAACAGCTAGTCTACAATAATATTCTACAATTATTGATATGAATTACTTTAGAAACAAATGTTAATAAAATGTTTCCATGCTTCAGAGATAATGCTAGTGCAAGAGTAACGTTTATTATAAAAAGTAAGACTAAGGTTATCATACTCACATATGTAAGTGTTAGGCCAAACTAATGTTACTCATTTTTGAATTTCAGATGTCGATAGTCCCTATGATGTTCCGCGACTGGTGGGATGACTGGGATCGCCCCTCCCGGCTACTTGATCAGCACTTTGGCATGGGCCTCCGAAAAGATGACTTACTATCATCTATATCTTCCTTCCCTTCAAGCTCTATCTTCAGAAACTCCTATTTCAGACCATGGAGGACAAGTCTCGCCAGACAAGAGTCTGCTTCCACTATTAATATGACAAAGGAGAAATTTGAAGTAAGCATTGTTCCATTCAATATTTTTAATTTTAATATTATAATATTTTTAATTATTGTTTATAGGTATAGAAGTGTAATTCTGCATAGTCTTATAGATATGCCCCGATATTATCTATCTATCGGTAGAGGTGACTGATATGCACAAATAAAATCGTGGCATCACATAATACGGAGAGCTCACATGGATACTTTCTCATATTTCTAAATTATAATGATTACAGGTTTTAAGTTCGACTAAGGCCTTTAATCTTAAATCTAAATCCATCTTTATTTAAAACATTATGTTTTTGTTTCAATGTGTATTAATGTACCATAAAGAATAGAGGTATTGATTGAGTGACTGAAAAATGCATCGAAAATGTTTATAATTTTAATATCTTCCATATACTACCTACCCCTTAGGGGTACAGTATCCAAAATCCTTAAACTACTACTTAGTTTCTTATCAAAAGCTTATAATAGTGTTATCAAAGATATTAAAACAGAACAGAATTTCAAACAATCTTTAATGTTTAATTACCTTAAGGCTATCCCCCCCCCCCTTAATGGCAGAATTGTCAAAAATGATGAAACATGTATCTCTTAATTTTAACCTTAAGTTGAAGTACAGATTTTCATTTATTAAAAATACGGAATATTTTTACACACACTTTCATCTTCTATATATTTCATAATAGGTGATTATTAGGGTATAATTTCCAAAAATCTTGATATAGGTACGTATTTCTTAATTTTCAACCAAAAACTCAAATACCAATTTTATCGGTGATAGCTACCAAGCTATTTCTAATTTGTTTTGTGTAGTTGATTGTGTATTATATATTTCACTAGCTGGCCAGGCGAACGTTGTTCTGCCCTATACGACCCTGTGTCCTATAAAAATTCTTAATAAAAAATATTGAGTGTCACTTATCAGGATAAAAACTATCCTATCTCTCAAGTTGGACCAAACTGCACACAGTGTGCAAAATTTCATTGCAATCAGTTTAGTAGTTCATCGCGGACAAACAACGGACACGTAATTTTAATTTACGATTGTAAACTGTTCTTTTTTTTTGGCTGGGTTTCATGCTGGAGAGGACCCAGGACAGAGGTATTTTCCGAACCAGGTAAATTAAACGTACGAATGAGTTTCAATAAGCATTATTTGTAATATATTATATTGAATAAAAAAGTATTATTTCTATTTCTATCGATCCAACTTTTAAATGGGTAAATATAGGCAGATTTGTTAAGTTTTAATATTCTATCTCTTTGATTTAAGGCTGTCTCTCACTATTAGAATGTTCCCACCATCTTATACGTTAAAAAGTCATTTTTCCATGCAAATTCTACACACTTTATGATTAGATTTTAAGAATAGCAACAGCTGAAATATGCCGAGCATAATATAAGAATTAAAATTAAAATTAACTTATGAAATTATTTATCTGTTACATTATAAATTCACATAATATGTACATGTTATACAAGTTATATAGTTAAATAAGTCTTATCTACTTTCAGGTTATCCTAGACGTACAACAATTCGCTCCAGAAGAGATCACAGTAAAAGCTACCAACAACTGTGTTGTGGTCGAAGGAAAACACGAGGAGAAGCCAGATGAGCACGGTTTCGTCTCTCGTCAGTTCACTCGTCGGTACATCCTCCCCTCAGGCTACGAAGTCGCTGACCTAGTCAGTACTTTGTCCTCAGACGGAGTCCTCACAATCACGGCACCCAAACGTCCACCACCAAACAGCGGTGAAAGGATCGTACCTATTACGAGGACCGGTCCAGCGAAGCAACCAGAACCCCCAACGACTGAACCACCAAAAGAGCAGACAGTCCCTATTGTCACTTCCCCTTAATCCCCTGACATGTGCTAGGAGACATCGATAAAAAAAATTGGATGAAACGATCGAATCATAAATAGCATTTATTTTTAAAACCCGCTGTTGGCCAGCAACGGGTAACGATTCGAAATAAACGAGCTAGATTTGTTTAAAGATCAATCAGTCATAACTGTATAAAATGTTAAATATAATAAAATGATGTTGTAATATTTTGTACTTGGGTGTTTATTTGTATTCAGTGAAGATACACTAATATTATATTGATGAGGTATAAATGCATTATAACAGACTATCAAAGAACAGCATAGAATGCCTCTTAAGGGGGGGATATTCGCCATGATTAGATACTTAGCATGTTATAAGGAGCCCATCTCCTGGTTTGTTTCCCTCTGTCGCCTCATACGATACCCACTGGACGATATAGGGTAGTGGATGCTCACTGCCACTACACTTCAGGTATACATAAATTAATGTAATGTACTATTGCAGTACAGTTGACTTGCGCGGATGTTAGATGGCGAAACATTTTATATGGAGGGGAACAGTATCAAAAGGTTCAAGAATTTTAATACTGTCATCACATTTTAAACGTGGTAGAGCCATGCTGTAGCTATATTAATAGTATAGTTGTAGCACGAATGGGTCGGCTCGCCCGGGGAAGGACCACGCTCTCACGGAATACTAGCGTAAAATAGCAGCACAAAGCTGCTGTTTCGTATGGTGAGTGTAGAGAACCAGATACCCTTTTTACTGGAAACGAGGCATTTCATCTTAGTCCTCACGGCTGACAACGCATCTGCATTTTAATTCGCAAACGAGGATAGAGTTAGATGTCTATGGGCCACAGCAACCACATACCATCAGCTTGATTGTGTGCTCGTTTGGCATCCCTATTCTATAAAAAAATCACCAATACACGACAAATCCCTTTTTATTTAACGCAAAGCGAAGAGGAAAATCTTTATGACTTTGTTTTTCATTTTTACCACGTTTTTATTAAGTCACTTTCTTGTATGTCTGTCGTTCCGGGTGGTATTTAGTAATTGATTTTAAACTAACTTTCCGATGAGCTGGAATATTGAAATTTTGAATATAGCTCAAATTGGAATGCCAATGCAAAAATATGAGAAAAAACATAGTATTTTTTTTTTTAATTTTAAATTCTTTCATCCTCTATAACAGTAAAAAAATTTATATATTTTCCATAGTGATACCATTTGTATACCTATTCCTGCCGCCAAGCAGCTTTGCCCATTAGCTCCAGCTACGTTTCAGTTTGAAGTTTCAGGTGTGAAGCATTTCATTGTATTTTGAAGGAGTTGATTACAGGTGTGCATGAGCTACATACAGAAGTCAGTTACCATACATATATTGGGATTTGATAGAATATTGATAAATAATTTCAATCAATCAATTGATACCCAATGTGTACAGGATCAGATATGAAATTAGTTTTTCTGGTGTAATATATGAGTGGGAGGGTTTTCTTTTCTTTGCTTAAGGCTAAAATGGAATACCTCACATCCTCTAAGACTCTCTATACCTTACAGACTGGAACACAGCATTGTACGCACTGCTGTGTGATAAATAGTTTAGTATAGATAATAGTTTACAAAATCAGTACTATGACGTTTACCTCCTGAGGCTGCTGTTTTGCCTCCATTAACAAGTTAAGCCCGAATGGCACTCTATAAACTGCCTTTTCTCGATGCAAGGCGGCGTATTTTTGAATCTACATTTTTATCGCACGTAATCACCAAGAAAGAAAGCACTACTTTTTATTTTTATTAAATAAAAAAAACATAAGGTTTTCAATTGTTTCTAGCAATTTATGTGCTGATTTACCTCGTGCTTGGTAAAGAAATATATTGTGAGGAAACCTGCATGTCTGAGAAATACAATATTATAAGGACGTGTGAAAACGGAGTGGAGCAGCACGGCAGACCAATTGCTGCAAAACCTTCTTAGATATTAGAGAACCAAGGCGTACACATATAATAAATAGGCTTTAAATTATTTTTTTATAGAAGAGCATACAGCTCACCCGATAGAAAGTGTTGACCGCCGCCCATAAACAATTGCAACACTATACAACTAAATAACAGGTGCGTTGCAGATCTTTTAAAAAAAAGGAGTAAGCTCTTTTCTCACCCGTGGTAAACGATTTCACAAAGAAGTCGTGGAAGGAAGAAAATTTCTAGTAAATCATACAGAGGTGGATCTCCAAGCATCCAAATAGCTTGGATGGTATCGTGAGTTTTGACGCGATGTGCGTTGGTGAAATTTGGCGGCTGGACTAAATCTGAACAATTCCTCTGAGCATTCCCCGTGGTAAATGCGATAGTACTTTGCTTCAATAATTCTTTTTCTCTCTTGATCATAACACATTCCAATAATAAATGGTGAATGTTATTAAATGACCCACATACTTCACAGTTAGGGGAAAGCGAAGTTTTAAGATAAATATTTATGATTTAGGAGTTTGTTCAACTGTGTTAGAAAAACCACTGTGAGATGCTGTAATATTTTTAGTTTATAAGTTAATGAAACTCTAATAATTCTAGTTCTTCAACTGTGTGTCATTAAGGTTAGGGTATGATGGAGCTGACATATCCGTCTCGAGTTCGTAAAGGGATGCAAGATCTCTTCGCACCGGCGGTGAATCGAACCGATCAGAAAGAACTCGGTTGTCGACGATTTGTGCCCCTCTGCGCTGGATGCGGTCAAGTGTAAGGAGTTAGACCTGGAGTGCCTCAGATCAAAGCTAAGACCAGTATCCCATATACCAGTGTGCCAGAATGAAATACTGTCTCGCTCTGCTGAGCATGCCAAGCTTTTTAGAGGCCCATTTAACATTATCTTTCAAGTGAACGCAAAACGTAAGTCATTCGATATGTCGATGCTAAGGATTCCGATGCTGGCTGAGGCAGCGAGGGGAGTGCCCTGAAACTTAACAGATACGACAAAGTGGCAAAACTTTCTCTTCTGCTCGTCAAACTGGGCAAGATTTTACCTTAAAAAAATAGGTATATTTTTTTTTACTTTTTACTTTTAAGGCATGAATTATTATATTTAAATATTCAGTGTTCACAACAAAGAGCACATAAAAGTCGCGATAACAGTACAAAAATAATGTGTGTCTCATATTGCTACGTACATAAAACAAATCGTTCTGGTCTATGATGACCTCACATCGAGCTCAACGAGTCAATACTGTTCTCCTGGCCTGCCGGCTCGCCTGAGTTAAACCCAATAGAGCACGCGTGGGATAGTCTTAAGTGAGCTGTTTGGAACTGTTAGCCACCTCCCCAGACAGTGCACAGATCAGAGAAGCCGCTATTCAAGAATGGGAGAGGTTACCGCAAGAAATGCTGGGTAACTTGACCCTCAGCATGCCCAGGGGGATCTCCGTATGTGTTCGAGCCAGAGGAGGAGTTATATTGTATTAAATAAAAACCTTCTCTTAATAAATTGTTACGTAAGTTTGGTTATACAATATTTTTCTTTCCATCCATTCCAACATTAGGATTGCATTACTAAATTTTTGTTATTAAGATATAAAAAAGACTTTTATTTTTAATTTCAAACAGTGTGTTTTTATTTAGTAAAATATATTAACATAAACATATTTTGATAAAGTTAAATTTTTAAAATATATCAGCTTTTGCTAGTGATCACAAACTTTTTTTGAAGTGTCTATGTATATATATATATACCATTATCTTCTTTACAATTGTAGAGACCTATATCGAGCAGAAATTTTATAAACTAAATAAAAACAACTGCGGTTGCCAAACTGCATTCGTGGCAGCTATGGCAAATATAATCTATGAGGATAGGCTGCATGTTCAGCAGTGCAATTTTTATAGGCTGCAATGAATTAAAATATCGCGACCATTGCATAAAAAATTCATTGAGTAAAATTTTTCAGAAAAGAAAATCACATTTTCCATCAAAAACTGTGTGTCAGACAATGTTGCTACTTTTTTGGAATGCCTGATTACTAAGAAACATTTTCCGTTCTAGAAATTGAACGAGCAAACCGCGAACGTAAATTAATGTTTAACGAATGCAAAATGCCACAAAAAGCAATAAGGGACAGTATTATCTCATAAGTTAAGTAATAAACAACAATAACAAATGCAGCTTTAAGAGCTTGTAGTATGTTGTTAATATATTTTCATTGAACTTAAACCTTCTTCCTTGTTTTATCGTAGCACACAGTTAATAGTAAGTGGATGTTGTGGCTCATATATATCTATGTACATCTATCCTCGATTAAGAATCGAAATGCAGATACGTTGTCACCTCTGAGGACTAAGATGGAATGACTAGTTTTCAGTAAAAAGTATCTCCGATTTTCTACACGCATCATACTAAATACAAGAATTAGTTGCTATTTTGCTGGTATTCTGAGAGAGAATGGATATTCCCCGGTTAACTCGACTTCTTCATGTTACAACAATAAAGTAACTGCAAAGTTACTCTACCACCTATAATAAATATTTTTTTATATATAATAGTATAATAATTCTTCTTTTCATGTAACAACTATAATATAGCTGTAGCGTGACTCTACCACGTATAATAATAACAACCATAATGTAGCAGCAGCATGTCTCCATCATGTGTAATAATAACAACCATAATGTGGCAGCAGTGTGTCTCTACCATGTGTAATAATAACAACCATAATGTGGCAGCAGCATGTCTCTACCATGTGTAATAATAATAACCATAATGTAGCAGCAGCATGTCTCTACCATATATAATAATAACAACCATAATGTATCAGCAGCGTGTCTCTACCATGTGTAATAATAGCAACAATAATGTAGCAGCAGCGCTTCTCTACTATGTGTAATAATAACAACCATAATATGGAAGCAGCATGTGTTTACCATGTGTAATAATAACAACTATAATGTAGCAGCAGCATGTCTCCATCATGTTTAATAATAACAACCATAATGTGGCAGCAGTGTGTCTCTACCATGTGTAATAATAACAACCAT